AAAGATAAACAATTGTTACGAATTATATCTAAGAGCTTGCGAACTTTAAAAAATCTATCAAAATCATCAGGGCAATTATTATCACAAAAATGAAGACATCTCATAAGTTGTTGATATCTACGCAATGACATTACATTTGCAACTTGTCCATATTTTGTTGATGGAGCCCAGTAGTCTGTATATGCAGGCATTTTTACTATTCCCATTATTAATGAAATACCAACCAAGTCTTTAATTTCTTTAATATTTGTTCCCAAAATTTTGTTAAATTTTTGAAAACAGTATAAATTGGACTGTTCAACGATTAGTTCAAATACATCATTAGAAAAAAAAATTAAAAAATATTCTAAAGGAGATTTGACATAACTATTAGTTGGGTAAGATTGTATTATTGGTATATAAACACTAAACTTTTCACTAGTGCATTTTTTCCATTTAAAATCAAAATGCTTTAATGGTACTTTTTTGTTTACTTGAGTTGGATTTGGAAGACAAATATTAGGGCTGATAAGTTGGTCTGTAGGGGCAGCAAGAGTAACAGGAGTAGATGATTTATATAATCTTTTTGACCGCCTAGAACCAGATGATTCAGTTCCTGATATATTTGAAATAGAATTATTATTAGATGTTGGAGTTGCAGGAAGTTCAATAACTAATGGTACTTCTAGATTCTGTTGTATTAAATCCTCATCTACTGTTTCAAAGTCTTTTTCAAATTCTTCATTTAACATTTTATTATACTCCTAAAATGTTTATTAAAATTTATAATAATTAAAAAAATACATACATATATGACTAAAATCATACAAATAATTACTTCATCAACTAAATCCTCATCTAAAATCTCTAAGAGATGATCAATTTCTAAAGGATCAACTTCAAATTCATCATCTTCCTCACTAGACCCACTATCTAATGGAGGATTTATAAGCGCTAATATCTTTTTACTTCTTGAAAACATATTTTTGGTTAATAAAAATATCTGAAATTTATAAATAAGTAATATTCACTATTCAAAATTCAATAAAAAAAGTACAAAACTCTAGTACTTATAATAATTTACTACATTTTAATATACCTACATATATTAATTATATGTTTTGGCTTATAAAATATAACTACTGAAATAATGAATTTGTATCTTGTGAGATACAATACAAAAATAAGGGAATTAATAATTTGTATCTTCAGGGATACATTAGATATAATGCGTTGGGAAACTTTAAATACTGCATGAAAACGAATATAGTTTGTATAATAATGATCTTTAGACTAACCTTAACTAATATTGCTATGTTATAACTCCTTTTGAGCACAGAACTTAAAAAAAAATGAAAATGAAAATACAAAATTGTTCACATGTTGTTTATCTGTGATATGACTGAAATCAAATGATCTTATCACTCAACACTGTATATATTTTCCCTCCAAATAATTATTTTATGCTTATCAGATGTCTAAATAAGCGTGACCAACCTTCAGATACAAAAAATATTGTTATTTGACGGAAATTAATTTATCATAGTCTAGTGTATCTTATAAGATACAAAATCAAGTTAAGGAATCCTCCCCCCTCCATTCAATGACTGACGCTCACGCCCCTGGGGTGCTGAGGAGACTATAGCAGTATAGCATTCTCGACATTTTGTTAATACCTGTTATTTTTATTTTACCTTTGTGTAACAGTTGTTACTTCTTGTTGAACCATTTCTAATACAATTTTAAATGTATTTTTACTTAGACGGAATCTTGCAAAAAAGTCTTCAAATGTATTCAAATGATCTATTCTTGTTGACAATAAATAGAAGTTTGTTCAAACATTGGTTCATAACCCAAGAATTCTATTTCTTCATCAGTACTACTGTCATTACTACTGCTGCTACATAAATAAGTCATTTTAAGTACATTTTAAATTAAATGGTAGGTACTTACATTCAAATAATTAACAATTTTAAAGATACCTACAAGTCAACGAATAAAAAAATCTTTGAAATTAAAAGTAAAATCAAACAAAATGTAATCACAAACCAAAATAAAAAGATTACTGATAATATTTCAGCTAAACTCTAGTTAAACTCTTTAGCTGGCCAAATATCTCGGATTAATTAATTTGCAGTTAAACTTCGGTGAAAATATTGATCAAGTATTAAAAAAACCCCATTTCTACTTTAACTGAGGATTAATCTTAACTGGAGATTAAATTCTCTTAACTGTAGATTGATAAAACGGCCCTTATGAATATGCACAAACTCATTATCATAACATACATAATATTATATTATACATTTCATTAACATTATTTTTTAAAACTTATTGAGATTTAGCTAATTCAAATTTAAAATTCTTTTTGTTTTGATTATTTATGTATTTATTTCTTTGTTACAGCCTCCAAAGTCATAAATCCGGTATTCATTTTTATCTCTATAGTTGTCTGTTATACACAATTCATATCCACATCCGGTATTCATTGTTATTTGAGTGTGTTTATACTTTATAGTGCGTTTATAGTGTGTTTTTACTTTATGGTGCGTTTATAGTACGTTTATAGTGCGTTTGAATAGTAGTATCGATTATTCTTTATTAAGTATTTCATTATTCTTATTTTTTAGTTAAATTAAAATATTGTTTCAAGTTCAGTAGTTTGGTTTTTGTAAGTATTTTGTAATTAATTTGTTTATTATTATTATTATTTTTTTTTTTAATATTTATTTATTAATTTTGTGTAAGTATAGTACAGAAAAAACTTATAAGTCGAGATTTAGGTTCGAGACTAAAACCAAAGTTTTTACACAATTCATATTAAATTACTTCAGTGTTTATACCTAAATTGTAGCTGTGACGTGTAACAAAATGAGTCTAAATAATAGATTGAATGAAATAGCTCAGTATGTTTGTATTGAGTATCCCGAATTAAACTTTAGTGAAGTCAGTTTTACATACAAGTGTGTGACAGACATTTTTTCAACGATCTTTAAAACAATAAATTCAAATTTGAAAAAAAATATTGTCAATGGTCTTAAACGAGATACATCAGAACTTCGAAAACTCATTCGGATGGTGAAAGAAAACGATGAATCTACGGTGTCTTTGAATGATTACTAAAGTAATGAGAAATACTGTGGAATTTATTGAAGAAAAAAACTATTCTGGAAATGATTTTGTTAATTTAAATTCAAGGGTAATTTATGACGTTTGTAGACAATTAAAAATATGTAAGAATAGTAAAAACGCAAAATCGGTGTACAGAATATGCCAACAAATATTCATGGATACTTCTTCGTTTTCTACTTTTACTTTATTAAATACTCTTAGCAAATGCTCTGAAGTAGAAGGGAATCAAATATAAATATAAATAACTCAGATTTGTTAGAAAACCAAACCAATTTAAATGAACCGAATGTTGAGTCATTGAAGTCAAACGATTGGTACACCACTTTTGATTATAGTGTTTCAAACATTAGTATCAAGGAAAACGAATGCATAAGCGACTTAACAATAACAGCAGTAAATTTTGAAACTGTAGTTAACAGTACACCAATACCAAAAAAAAGTTACATTGCTACTCCTCCACCACTGAAAATTTCAGATGAAAAATACCTTAAAGTAGACACACCGTTAAGAGAAACCTTAATAAAGACACCACCAATTAAGTCTGGTGTTGTTTTACCCCCTTTGAATTTAACTCATGAGAGATTTTCCGTACTGTTATGTCGTGCGACATCTGAAATGCCTATTCTTGAACTACCCACTAAATATGATTGTGTAACGAAATTATTTTGTCACACACGAAATATTTTTCACATGAACCAAGTTGGTTACTAAAGCTATCATGATAATAATTGTGATAACACCTCCGGTATGGCGGTATTTTACTTGTTATCAATGTTACATAGTATGATAATGCTATAGACTGACGTCCCGCCATATATGCATATATTTTAAAGGCTTAAATAGCGAGGGGGACATAATATGAGATTATTCACATTGGGAAGTTGTCGACCTCGGGGATTTAAGAACAACGACGCAATAAGAAATCGAGTGCGTAGTTCTGAGAATCCGACTACCGAAAGTGCGTTGCGAAAATATAAATGAAAAGAGTTAAAACGTGAAACATCTATAAAAATGTTAAATATAATATTACAATATCTTTACTCTAATCTCTCGACCGACACGACCGGGCGATCGTTTCCTGGAATCCCACGACCACGCACAGGGCATCGCCCGTTTCCGCCAAAAAACCTGTTCCCTGATTTAGGTATTTCCGCCAAAAACGAAAAAGGTACAATTCCCGTTTCCGCCAAAAGACATTTCCGCAAAAGAAAGTTTGGAAACCAATAGTATTAATTTATAAGCAATATATATGTTGCGGTATATATAAAATAAAATAGTAATATAAAATGGGTACTACAATATATACAGCGATAATCTTCGATAATTGTTGATAATCGTCGATAACGGAAGGAAGTATACACTGTATCATAGTTTACTTATAATTCGCACACAATAATTATCTGACAAATGTTAAATTCTTATGAAAATGAAATTAGTAGGTACGAGTTTGTCAAAACTGTTTCTTGTAATTATATGATTTTTTAAAACCTAACCTATACTTAAGAATGTGATTTTTAAAACCCGGCATATACTTGTATTATAATAATTAATATTTTTTGACATTTTTAATTATTTAAAAATAACGACATGTTTTTTCAAAACTCTATTGCAGGGATGGCGAACCTTTTGATAACTGCGTGTCAAATCAAAATGTTTGGTTTGATTTTATTTGCCTCGCGTGTCAGAAACTTTGCAGACCTTTTTTTTTGCTTAAAAAATAATTAATTAAACATATAAACATGATTTTATTTGTTGTTAGGTGTATAAAATATTTAAACTTTACGGCATTTTCTGTTTAGGTACTATTGCATATTAATATAACTTTACAGCATTTACTATTTACTATTACATATTAATACAAACACATATTTTTTTTTAATTACAAAAATAAGTTTTTAATGAGAAATTTGTTGCTGCATATTTCCAGCTAACGAATCAATCCTGGGATTATAATTTGTAGATTTTAATTGAATACATGCTGCACTGATATCTGTTCCAAGACGATTTCTCAAAGTGGATTTGATAAAATTCATGGAGGAAAATAGCTGCTCACATTTATATGTAGAACCAAACATAGTCAATAATGAAAGTGCTAATTTTTTCATGGATGTAAATGAATTTGGTAGACTTTTCCACTCAATAAGAATTAGGTTTTCGGTTTTAATACTGCTATCAATTTCACAATAATTTTTTTCCAGTTCACTGTTTAAATTAATAAATTTATTTCTCCAAATTACATTTCCCTGAAATTCTATTAATTCCATTTCTAAGTTTTCGATATTTAGCCATTCAAAAAAAGATAGATCAAGTTCATCATATGTAATTTTATGCGGATTTATTAAAAATTGAAAGGTTGGTTCTAGACATCGAAACTGTGAAAATCTATTAGAAAATAATTCAGTTGTATTTTCTAATATATTAACATATTTTTTAATTATACATTTGATGTCAGTCTGACTATCTGCAAAGTGTAATGAATTGTTCAGATGATTTTTCAAATGTGGAAAATATTTAAATTTTTCATTTTTAAGATCTTTACAATAAATTTCAATTTTTTTTTCAAAACCTTTGATATTTTCAAACATTGTTAAGACTATGTGACCGGGCCCTTGAAGTTTTTTATTTAATTCATTATACATTGTAGTAAAATCAGTGAAAAACATTAAATTGTTCAACCAATTTAAATCTTTAAGTTCTGGATAGTCTTGAGATTTTTCGAATAAAAATAATCGTATTTCTTCTAATAATTCAACAAATCGATGAAGAACTTGACCACGACTCAACCAACGAACACTGTTATACATTAAAAGGCCAGCGTATTGTGATTCAACTTCATCTAATAATTTAGTAAATTGTCGGTTATTTAAAGCACGAGATGTAATGAAATTGACAACTTTTGTAACTACTTCCATTACATTTTGAAGCGATTTCAAGCTGTCTTTAGCACACAACGCTTCTTGATGTATTAAACAATGAAAACTGATTAACGGATGAGAAATTTCTTTCGAAAAAAGTTGAACAAATCCATTGTGTTTGCCAACCATATTAGGGGCACCATCCGTAGTTATTGAAACAATATTATTTATATTTATTTTTAAATTGGCGAATTCTTTAAGTACTACATTCATAATATCTTGAGCAGTTGTTTTAGTAGAAATCGTCATTAATTTTATTAATTCTTCCCTCATAATATTAACACTACTGAACCTAACAAAGACTGCTAGTCGCGCCTGTGAAGTTACATCTGTACTTTCGTCAAGACAGATTGAAAAATAATTTTCTGAAGCCAAATCTGTTTGAAGCTGATCTGTTATATCATTACTCATACAAATAATACGATCTTTTACAGTATTTCTACTAACAGGCAAATCGTTAATACGTTTTATTATTTCATTTTTATTAGTAAAATCATGAAACAAAATGTTAGACGCCTTAACAAAAACTTCTTTTAAGTATTCTCCGTCAGAAAGTGGCTTACCATGCTGCGCAATGCAATGTGACACAGAAAAACTAGCGGCTGATAAATTATTATTTTGTTTGAACGCCACTTTAAATTTGTTTGATTGACTTCTAAAAAATTTTACTTTTTGAGAAATCAATTCTAATTTTTCTTCAGCCGATAGAGAAAATATATTGTTATGAACTGTCTCGAAATGTCTTTTAACATTAAAACTACGGCTTACAACTGTTTCGTTACACAAGCAACATAGTACCTTATTATTGTTTTGAATTACACCAAAATCCACTGTCCACTGTTCGTGGAATAATCTCCCACTACCGCTTTTTTCTGGATTCAGTTTTAATTTTTTGGACATTTTTATTCTATAAATTAAGAATATAGTATTAATTATTTTATACGAATTTTTAATTTTTGAAAATAATAAAAATAAATAATATTCACCAATGTATTAAACTTCCAACGGTTAAACGTGAATTATATTGAGAAAGCCCGAAGCAATATTGAATAGGTTGGTTAAAATAGTCGTCGTGTAAGGCATCCGAAACTATCTGTTGACGACTGTCGACTGTTCTGTTTACCTACGTTTGTTACGTAAACGCGATAAACGAATTTATTGATAATCTAATCGTTTCGTTTACGAGCTTAGGAAATGGAAAGTACAGATTACAATATCTTACGATACATTCCAATAATAAGTTAAAAATAGTTTAAAATTAACAATAATTTTTTTGGAAAGTGAAGTAAAAATTAAGAATTATATTTTAAATTGGCGTGTCACTGAAATAATGCGCGCGTGTCACTCCGTGACACGCGTGACATAGGTTCGCCATCCCTG